CACCCCAACCCAGAAAATATCCTAAAGTGTGTTAAAAACCAATACAAATACACTGTCAGATTTCATTTGAGTTTAGGATTGAAGGGAAGCAAAAGCCTAACTCAAAAGAGAATTCCTGAGAAGGATATAACCTCTCTGCTTGGTTGCCCTCCTGCAATCTTGAAAGAAAGAATGCATGAGTCAGGGGCCAACATTTTCTAAAGAAAAAACATATGGTTGTTTCTCATACAGGCCAGGGATGTATACAGAGAACAGCTAACTAAATATGATAATCAGCCCACTGATTCATTTCCTTCAGAGCTATTTATCTAAATTGGTAAACAGATTATTTAAATAACTCAACCCACAGGAACACAGCTTCTAATTAGAAACATTACATTTTGATTTTGGTTTTATTGTGACAACATACCATTCTGACCAACCAAAGCAAGAGAAGGTGGTTGCAGTTTATTTAAACAGTAGTCTTGGGCAGCTAGCAGGTTTCCAGATGTGCTACTCTACAGTGCTGCAACCAATAAATAAAAGGAGGAGGACTGTTGGAATGCTAACATTTTCTCCAGGAAATTGCTCAAAGAGTTAAAGACAGGGATGATAAAAGCGTCTGCACTGGTTCTTGTCACACTGCCAGAACTGAATGTTTACCCAGCACTGAGTCTCCACCAGATGGGGTGAAAAAAAATTCAGAAATACTCTTTTCCCAGCCATTTTGCCATGAAGAAGGGTAGAGTGAAGCAAACCAAATGATTTATGTGGTAGAAAGAGACCCATAATGACACATTCAAATAGCTGCATGTAGGTTTCTTGGCGTTTATGTCAGCAGACATTTTGGGGGAGCATCTGCAATCTAAACACTATGATGTTATTCCACAGTCCATCATTTTGCCTGTCATTATATTTATAATTCATGCACTCTGGTCTACAGCTTGTGCTGCAAGAGGGGCTCCAAATTGGGATGGTTGAACTTGGGGGTTGAATTATGTTTTATTTCTCGATCAAAACCACAGGTGTACAGCTCTGGAAGATGCTTTGCACATCTTCATAAATCTTCACTGTGTAGAGCAGCTGTATCTGAGACCCAGCAGCAGTCAGAGTAGGGTGGAAGTGCCGAAGTGAGGAAGAGAGATAATAAGGTCAAAATCAAGAACCTTTGTTACAAATGTCTTGTGGAAACTGGGCACAAAGCAGGCTGCATGGCCACAAAACACTAAGCCAAGCACCAGAAAACATTTTATCAGTCTTCTCCCTCCCCCAGAGCAGAGGGAAGCCTCTCTGTCCCTGACCCAAGATCTACTCTGAGGACTGGGTGGAGGGGAGCAGGCAAAGCCAAGGAATAGCTGGGCCAGAGCCAGGACTATGCATGTATCATGATTGACTTCTCTGGGTCTGAGGGGAGCCCTTGCTTGGGAAAGCACTTCTTCAACAACTGCCCAGATTTCCACCGTCGGTGCATATGGTCCCGCCAGCGGTCCCTGTCTGACTCGCTCAGCTCAACTCTTAATACTCAGTAACTCAATAACTCTTCTCATCTGTCCAGGACTGAAATCAGGAGCATGCCTGCACGGCGTTATGGAGCACAGAGTCTCTGGTGTGCAGCCCTGCCGGCTCAGTGCTTCACAAGTGCAGACTGCTGCTTCGCCATGTCATAATCCTTCACCTGCTATGGACAGACTCAGCGTACGTGCTGCCCACATGGGCTATAAAACCCCTGAGGAACCGAGGATGAAATAACAGCCATTTCCAAAGCAGCTATGCCTTCTGAGGCCATGGATTGTTTTCAATACTTTGGACTGAAACCTCTAGATAAAAATTATGAAGAATTAAAAATCCTCCTTCTTCCATCAACTTCTCCATACATAGGCTAAGGTAACAGCATAAGAACCACAGTCACAAGTTGATGAAGTGATAATAAACATAAGAAAAGTAAGAAATCCTTGATTATGTATAGGGAGATTAGGAAGAGAGCCAAAATGAAGTTGAAAATCCATCCGTTCTTATGTCTAAGTTGCTTCTAAGCATGCACTGTGTCTGCTTCCTTGAAAGAGAGGGAAGAGTTCACACAGACTTCTACAGGAGCAGGGTATCATCCTTTAATGTTTTAAACTAGTCAGTGTAGCCTATAAAAACTGAGATGCAGATCCTAAGAAAAGTGGGAAGCTGGTTGGACAGACAGAATTTTGCCTGTGATATGCCACCCAGACATTTCCAGAGTTAACTACATCTGAATGTCAACCATGATTTTTATCCGTAAAAAAACCCTAAATACGATGCACCATATATGGCAAGACTGTTGCTTGGGCTGCTAAAGACAATCCAAAAGACTGTTTATTACTGCTAATAAAAGCCAAACTTGAAGTGCAAAGTATAGTACCTTTCCCTTGATTTATTTTCAAAGATAATACAGATGTGGATAACTTCAGACAAGTCTGTTTCCTTCAACCTTTTGGCAGGCACTGCTTTCCTACAGACGAGCACTATCTGTTTTGCGTGTGTGTTTCTGGTTGAATTATCTCCGTGCAAAATCCTTCTTTCTAATAACAGAAGCATTATCAAACAAATACAAACTAAGACACTCTAAAGAAATAGTTACATCGGGCAAAGAGCTGGGCATGCCTGTGAGAGTTTCTTTTATAAGTATTTAGTGTCTGCTCAAGAACATAACACTCAAAACACTTTTCTTACCCATTTCAAGATTGTGTCATTGCCATCCTTCTCATAGTACAGCCAGAACTACCTTACTTAAAGGAGCAAGCACCAGGTCAGTGTAAAGGTCAGTGTGTTACCACCAGGATATCCATCTCACTCTCATACTAGTAGATGTGCACTCTATGTACGATAATGCAATTTATAGTAACATAAAATTTGAGATGCAGCTTGACAGAAATCTCAGAGTCTGTAACATGGTTCCACATTATTGTGATGAACACGGCTCTTTAAGAGGTCTCCAACAAATTATATGCCAGTGTGTTCTTTACTATCTAGGCTGCTTGATCTCAGTATGACTAATTCAAGCATAACTGGGTACCTGAGAATTTCTGAAGTATGTAAATACTTACAAGTACTTTAAGTATCTATTATGACTGTGGTCCACATCCTGCTTCCACAAAATCAAGAGAAGTTTTGGCATTGGCTTCTACAGAAGCTAGACATTCTCCTGTTATGTTTTAGTGTAGATAAGTCATGACTAACACAGTTTAAAATGTTTTCTTTGATGGCATGAATTTAGAGCAAGTCTCCAGTCTAATCAGGAGACATTATCTAATGTTATTCACAAGACTGGTTGAAAACTATACCAAATCACACTAACTGTGGATTAGTGTTATTATAAACTTTAACACAGTAGTACACATAAATTTAGCTTAAAGTTACTACTGAACAACTGTTTCTGAACACCTTTGCTAGTATCTTTTAACACCAAGAGGAGGGAATAATAACCTGTGAGTTAGCTTTATAAACATAGCAAATTTGAAAAAAAAACAGCTTCAAATAATGTTTAATCAGCATAATATCTACATTTAAACACAGGAACTAATGAAACATGCTGCTGTTCTTGTCAGCCACTTACGGCAAAGGCCCCATGCATAATTCATGTATTAAAGTCTCCCCCTGGATTATCCAAAACTCATACGTCTCTCAACACAGATGAGTATTTTCATTTAGTATGGTTGGGTACATCTCCTCCTAGATTTCATATTTTTTAGGAAACAGAGTCTAGGAGAAGATTGTGCTATTGTCACACTTCTGGCTGACACATGGTGCTAGGCGTGGGGTACAACTGATTTCTTGCTCCCCTCCTTTTTCTAAGAACAAAAATTGCTGGCCGTGCAATTGCTTGTCAGTTTGGACTTTGGCTATTTTCTATGTAGCGCTCAGTGCTGTACAATCCTGACTCCTGCCAACTTGGACAGGGAGAGTAAACAGACATCATGGATCTGCTTCCCCTTGCATATCCAGCCTCAGTTTCTGACAGAACTTAAGGAGCTTCAAGTCCAAACAAGACCAAGTCACAAGTGAACAGTTTGCAGCTATAAAGTAATGGAAAGCCAGTGTAAAAAATACAACGCATCAAGTATCTCTAGCCAAAGTACAGACAAATGATACGTCAAGCCCTAAAATTGTGTGTCGCAGCTTCAGCTGCGCTCAGACTGTGAAATACCTGAGCACTGCTGCAATAGGAAAACATAACCCATAGATGCTGTCACTGACACAAGATATGGCACACAATGTGGCAGAAAACAAAATTGTATCCACTTGCCAACAAGTTGGGATTGCTTCTATTTTTATTACTAGAAAGTAAGAACAAGTTCTGCAGTAAATTAAATCCATCAGACTGCAGGGGACTGGAGATCAGTCCAGAATATGATGCAGGATGTCTTCATTACTAATACTCATACCAAAACTTGAAACTAAAATTTTGTGCTTGAACATCTCAAGTGAAAGTGTAATTAATCTTCAAAATAAGAATTCATGGTCGTCTTTTTAACTGAGGGAACTTGGAACACATTTGGGATTCTGAAGCAAACGTATGACTGGATGCTGAGCAAAGCAGAAAACTAAAATGCTGAAACGTAAATTGTCATTACTTTTCAGGGGTAAGACTTTGGTAAGACCGAATAGTCCATAGCTGTTTTCTGGCCACTGTTTTGACCTGTCTGGACATTTCTGGTGATAACATTATATTGGGTTTTATTGCCATTCACGAGGCTCTCATGACCTAGGTAGGACCATTTACTACTACAGGGCAAAAATCAACCCACCTAAATGCATATTGAGTCCTATGAACATAAGACAACTAGGCATAAGGATAAAATGCTGATTTCCAGAAACTAAACCCTCCAACATCAGGTAAGCCTGGCTCTCCCCACAGAGATCTAAACTGAAGCTTGGGCACCATCTCTACCCACTACAGTTTCACACCATCACGCAAATATTTCTTTACTATCCAGAATGCAATGTTTTCAGACAACAAGGTTTCATCAGAAGAGGCTGCATGTTTGCTTTACCTGAATCAGCAGCTGTGATCAGTAGCACATACTGCTCCTTTCTCTCCCGGTCCAGGCTCTGCACCAAGCGCAGCTCTCCGCTGGCCGAGAGGATAAAGGCTCCTTCTTCATTTCCACCCACCAGAACGTAAGTAAGTCTGCTGTTCAGGCCTTGATCATCGTCCCTTGCTACAACCTACAAAAGCAATGCAAACACAAGGGAAAAAATATCAAGAACTGATGAACGCATGGTCTGTAAAATTTTATTGGGACAGAAGAAATACTCTCTGGGACAATAATCTAAATTAATGAGTTGAATTAATCCAAATGCGTTAAGGGTTAATATAAAAAAGGTGTAATTGTAATATAACTTAACACAGTGGTGATGAATTAAAAGTGTAGTTTGAAAGCATTAAATAGTTGTCTACCTATTTTTCTCAAGCATAGATACACTGAAGACTTTGTTGGGGCTCAGTGAAAACCACAGATGGTCTGGTATAGGCTGAACTCCATATTAAAGGGAGCATTGCACATCCTGACGGCTGAATCCATTTAGTGCTCTTACAGCATTTGGCACAGAGCCTCAGGCCATGTAGGCAATGATCGGATTGAGAGATTTGTTGCATGAAAATTGAAACTGAGATGAGAGATAGAGCAAACTATTAAAGTCGCAGTGTAGGTAAGAAAATAGACATGGAAAAACATACGCAACTCCAAAGCATAATATAAACTTTTGTTAAAAAAACCCCAAACAAACAGAAAACCTCCACCCAAGCTAACAAAAAGGAAAACAAACCAACAACCACTGCATGCTAGATTACAGCCAAAAGGCAACTTTTCAATCATCTTGCATCTTTTTAATTTTGGAAGAAAGACAGTACACATTAATACCATATACTGAGGCATGCTAATAATTGTAGCAGGTCCATATTCATTTGCGGCATGCACTCACCTGAAGAATAACTTTTGGAAGTGTTTCTAAATTCTCAGGGACGTTCACAGAGTAGGGAGAAAGTTCAAATGTGGGAACATAATCATTGACATCCTTCAGAATAATATTGACTGTTGTGGTATCGGTCCTCGGGCTGCTCCCGCGGTCAGCCGACTGAACAGTCAGGGTGTAGGAGGGCTTTTTCTCTCTGTCCAAAGGTTTGGCAATGGTTATCACCCCCGTTACAGAATCGATCCGAAATTCATTATTGGTGTCTCCACTCACGATGGCATAGCGGACTTGCCCATTTGTACCTTCATCTCCATCTGCAGCAAACACCTGTATTAAATCCGTCCCTGTCAAAGTATTTTCCCCCACCTCTACTTTATAAAGCTTTTGGGCAAAAAGCGGGTTATTGTCATTAATGTCCAGAACAATAACTACCACATCCGTAGATGAAGAAAGGGATGGCTGGCCCTTGTCTCTGGCTACCACCGTCAAGGTGTAGTTGGATATAACTTCTCTGTCGAGCTCCCCGGTCAGCCTCACTTCACCATCAATAGTGCCGATACTGAATTTGTTTCCCAGCGGCCAAAGCAGACTGTACTCAATGTAGCTGTTTGGACCGCTGTCAGGATCCATTGCCTGTGCTTTGAACACAATCGTATCTATTGGTGTGTTTTCTGGGATGTAGGTCAGCTTTGGAGAGATAAAGCTTGGAGGGCTGTCGTTCACGTCCAGCAGAATAATTGAAACTTGGGCTGTGCTTGTGTACCTGGAGGCCGGGAGAGAAGCCATATCATGGACTTGCACAACGAGGCTGTAGAAAGACTGGCTTTCCCGATCCAGAGGCTGCCTGATGCTGAGCATCCCGCTGTTGTCGATGCCAAAGTGTCCCGCGCTGTCCCCAGATGCAATGCTGAAGGACAGCTGCGAGTTGGAGCCTGGCAGGGCAGGAAGAAGAAAGGTAGAGAATGTGACTTCATCCCATTGACCTAGATACAACTGTTTATGGACTCATTTTCATAGGAAATGAGGACTGTACAATCATGCTGCCTGTTCAGCCTCCTCATCAACATTTTTGAGTCCATCAGCTAATTTCCACCAAGTTTCACAGTGGAGCAGAAGGCTTTGAAATGATTATTTTCTGACAAGAGCTGAAGAAAGAGAGAGAGAGGGAAGGATGCTAACTGGAGAGGCCACAGGGGGACTGGCCAGCACAGCTCATCTCACTAT